TATAACTTTTACTATCACTGCCAATCGCTTTCTTTGAATTCGTTATGGAAATTCAAATGGCATGGCATCTGAGCAAGTTCATATTTGCATGCAGTGTGGAACACTTTCTTTTCTATTTGCAAGATGATTGTTTTTTTATACATAGTAACACAAACTATGTAAATATTTACATACATTCATATGTACTATGTATGTATATTGGAAAGATGTATGTATGTCTACATATACTCTTGTGCTTTACTAATAACATAATCAGTTGACTACTAGGTATGAAGTACTCATACTTTCGATATTTAAATTTTTCACAAGGTAAAAATTGTTTAAAACAAAACACTACGCATTTTTTGGATTCCAACAGACCTCGATTTACAACATTCCCGCATTGCTCAAACATTTACTGGCGAAAAAAATATTGCAATTATTATTTAATTGTGCAACTTCATTCGGGGTCTCGTTCGATTTCATTTTTTTTTATTAAATTGGGAGTTGGCTTGCGGCTCAACAGCTTAACAACACTTCAAATCTACTCCACACCACCACACCTTGTCGACATGACATCGTCACAACAGCAACAAACACTCGCACAGCGCACATTCAATCGTTTTGATTTTTTTGTTTTGTATTTATTAGTGTTTCGTGTTAATCCAGCGAATGTCCGTACTACAATGCAGCAAAAAATAAATAAAAACCAGGGATTTTAATTGTTGCACTATTTACTGCCGCTGGCTCACATCTTTCGTTCTACACCCGTCCACTAATTCTTTTTGTCTGTTGCTTCATTTCGTCGTCGACTGTCGCATAGTTGCATTTTGTCTTGAATTTTCCATATCGATTTTCCGAATATCGATATTTCATGGTCCGATAATCGACTTTTTGAATCGATGCTTCCCGGGTCGATTAATCGAAGAGATCCATTTTTAAAAAGGAGGCTTGGGATTGTGCATGACATGAACCAAAAATACAAGATCACGTTAGAACGCGACGTTGTATTTGTAACTGGTTTTGAGAAAAAAGTTTGCGAAAGCGGGTTCGTCAGCTGAGCGTTTGTTTACATCACAGGCACCACTATTTTACACTTTTATTCAAGTAAAGAAGAGTTAATTCAACATGACAACACGTTTTAAAGCATTTTATTGCATCATTTTACCTAAATTGTGCGTTTAAAGTGGCTGACAATAATTTTGGCTAATTTTGGGTTTCGTTGTTTTCTTTGATTTGTTTACTTTTCGCTCGTTTTCCAGTGAAACAAGATGGCGTAGAACCCGCTAAAAAAATCGACTTTTTTCACTCTCTTGTTCTTACGTGATCTTGTGTCTTTCGTTCATGTGTGCATGATAAAAAAATAGAGGTAGTTCCAGCTGAAATTAGTCAAGAACGAAAACCTACCGGTACGTAAACCCGAGTCAGCTGACACGATCTGTCTTACCAAAGCGCCATGTAAATGAAAACTCAACACCGCAGAATTATTCTGTTGTTGTTGTTGTAGCAGCACAATCTACTAGCTAACGTTATAGATATGTATGTTTCTACCAGGTCTATTCTGCACGTTACCGAAGATTTTGTAACCGGAAAATTGTATTACCATAAAATGTTACCAGTTCTTGTCACCGCGATTCTAGGTACGTTGGTAATGCAGTTAAAATTTTCAGCAATTCAGCTATGAAGAATTGTGCAAATCCTAGCATTGCATATTTCACGGGGCAATAATTTGTTACCAGCTTATAAGATGGTAACAAAATTTACCGGTTACAAGAGTATACAGAATGCGAAAAGGGTTTAAAAATTGACAGGAACTTTATTTACCGGTTACAAACTTTTTATTACCAGCGCAGAATATACCTGTTAGTCACAAATATAGTTCTGAACACATTGAAAACGACGAGTTACCGACCACAGCTTCCAATTTGTCATCTTTATTATCTAAGCGCTTTATCGATGGCGACATGATTTCTTTGAACGCGGCAGCGACATCATGAATTTGTATGAGTTTGACATAAAAGAAGAGGAAGAACCTTATCTGTCGCCAGAAAAATAGAAATAGATCTAATCTGGCCACAACCACAGCCGTCGCGTAGCCCGGTCGTCGCCAAAATAATTATCTACATAAGAGTACGTGTTAAAATAATTTGACAGCTGTGGTTTGTAGCTCGTCGTTTTCATTGTGTTCGGGCTATATGACTTAAACTTTGCAGTTGGTTATAAAAAATAAAAAAATTAACTAGAAAATATGTGTATATGTATCGCACATTTCTTTCTTTCTGGCATTTCCGCACTGTATTTTTCTGAAACTGAATTCTGAGAGTCACAGGGAAGTCTTTCTGGCTGTTCGCACATAGAAATAAAATTTCTAAAAGTGGGAAATAATGCCACGCCTGACATGCTCTTAACAGCTACTTACTTCTTAACAGACAAAATATTTTTGCGTACCAACTGTCATTTTTATTGCCCGATTCGTGGCTATAATAACCCCGCCCAGATCGGGTAGTCCCTCAATCGTTGTCATCAAGCTCAACTAACGGGAGAGGGGATATCTCTTCGCATGCCGGACACTCGTTTGGCGCATTCGCAGTTTACTAATTCTATTCTCAACCGTTGCCGTCAAGCTCTACTAATGGGAGACCTAAGAAGCGTGCAGCTTCTATAGGGTATGTCCATAGAGATAGAGGCATTACTTGAGTGTCTCGAGTGGTAGGGTGTCTTTCCGCATTCCGGGCACTCGTTTGGGGCATCGGCATTTACTGTGTTCAAGTACGAGTTTAACCTCCTGCAGTACCAAGAACGAAGTTAAGCAATTGTAGTCCGAGTCTCCCGAGGAAGACGAAGTTCTGTCTCGTCCACGTCTGGTGGATGTGTGTCTAAAACGGTATTCACAGGAAGAGAGTCACGGAAGGATTTCTTCTATTGTCAAAGTATACAACATTTCTTGTGCATATACATAACTCCGGCGAAGAANCAAACACTGCTTAAACAGGAGATTAGCAAAACAGCTTTATTTGAGGTTAACTTTTTGGCTGCATTTCTTTATTAATTCTGAACGTTTGGAATAAACTTTTTTGTTTACTTATTCTTTAGAACGTTCCTGATGATATGTTAACGTATATTTCAAACGCATTCTGTTTATTCCAGATGTGAAATGGGATTATTCGGAATGTATAAAGAAACGCAGCCTAAACGGATTGAAATGTGCAAACACTGATTTTAAAATTGTCGGTACAAACGTCTCAATTAATCGCAATAGGATGACTTGTTATCGATACTTTTTTGACATCAGCCCCGCTGCGTGATATGTCAAATTTGCAGAAAATCTTCGAGCACTCGGCGCCATTTTTCTGCTTATAAACGGTTTTTGTGTTTTGCAATTTTGGATTGGGAGTAATTGTGATAAAAAATTAAAGAATTTGTGTAAGCGGAGCCATTGTTCATTTTGATACAAAAGTAAACTTTGCCAGATTCTGAGGTGCGACAGCATTTTGGTTGCACTGTTGCATGCATCGCATGTGCTGCAGGTTGCACGTATTTGTGAAATCTGAGCTCTTGAGTCGCAAACCCTGCTATTTTGTTACATTACATTTCAATATTTCAGATAAATTTCGCCGTTAGTTGGGAAACAAAATGTTTGGGGGAACTAAACCCACGTTCGGCACCACTACTGCTGGTACTGGTTTTGGTGGCTTCAGCAGCACGACCACCTCTTCACCCTTCGGCCAATCTGCGTTTGGAAAGCCGGCCACGTCCGCCTTCGGCGCTGCACCAGCTTTTGGAACACAACAGCAAACACCTTCATTGTTTGGTGCAAGTACTGCCCAACCACAATCAACGGGCTTATTTGGCGCCGCAAACACTACTTCGGCCTTCGGGAGTACTACAACGGCCCAACCTGCATTTGGAGGTAAGTTCTTTAAATACATGAATATTTATGTAGTTAATATATATACTTAATACCAAATTCCAGGTTTCCAGCAACCAACTCAAGGTGCATCGATGTTTGGGACTTCTCAACCCGCAGCCAATACAAACTCTCTTTTTGGACAGTCAACGACATCAGCATTTGGGTCCGCAGTAAAGCCCGGCACGTTAGGTGGCTTTGGTCAGACTGCTGCACAACCAACATCTTCCTTGTTCGGGCAGCCAGCAGCCGCCACTAACACCACCAGCTTTGGTTCCTTTGGACAGACCCAGCCTACTACGAGCAATGTGTTTGGTACTGGAGCTACCATGATGATGGGAGCCAATGCAGGCACGTCCATTGCAAAATATCAACCCACAATTGGCACAGATACACTCATGAAAGGTGGTCAACCAAATAATGTTAACACCAAACAACATTGTATAACAGCAATGAAAGAATATGAGGGCAAATCACTGGAAGAGTTACGTTTAGAAGATTATATGGCAAACCGGAAAGGACCACAAGCCGGCACCTCTGGCGCCAGTTCGGGATTCTTTGGCTCAACCACTCAACAAGCAGCCACAGGTACTGGACTATTCGGTGCAGCTGCCCAACCAACTACTGGACTTTTTGGTCAATCAGCGGCTGCGACAACGGAAAACAAAGGCTTATTTGGCGCTGGTGCTTTTGGACAACCTAATACTTCTGCGTTCGGTGCAACCACGCAGCAGAACAGCTTTTTGGCCAAGCCATTTGGTGCTCCTGCTACTAGTGGCTTTGGTGCAGCGACAACAGACTCGTCAAATTTATTTGGCGCTAAACCAGCCTTCGGACAGACGCAACCAAGTTTGTTTGGACAAACCTCAACTGCAACCACAGCACCAGCATTTGGTCAGGCGGCCCCCGGTTTTGGCGGCTTTGGCGCGGCAGCTCCTGCGCAACAAACATCGCTCTTCGGAGCGCCAGCTGCCGATGCCAATAAACCGGCATTTGGGCTAGGTACATCATCAGCGGGAACCACTGGCTTTGGCGGTTTCGGTAACGCAGCGACAAGTACTGCGGGAACAGGACTATTCGGTTCGAAACCTGCCACAACTGGCTTCGGTGGGGCTCCTGCTTTTGGTGCAACTTCTACTGCTAATACCGGTTTTACAAATTTTTCGCTTGGAAACACCGGTGGAGGGCTCTTTAATTCATCGATTAAGCCGGCCACCTCTGGTTTTGGTGGATTTGGAACACAAACTTCTACCGCACCATTGAATTTCAATCCTGGTACTGCTGCGCCTTCGGTTTTTGGTAGCTCTGCTGCGAAGCCTGGCGGCCTGTTTGGCTCGTCTCTCGGCCAAGGCGCTACAAACACCGCTGGCGGACTTTTTGGTGGTGGTGGGGCATTTGGTACAGGTGCCACACTTGGTGGAGGTTTCGGTTCGAGTACACTTGGGGGCGGTAATATGTCACTTGGTGGCCTTGGTGGCAGCCAACAACAGCAACCAGCACCGATTCATCAACAAATTCTGGCAAGAGTAACCTCACCATATGGCGATAATCCGATATTCAAAGATTTGAAAAGGACCGACGAAACAGATGCCACGCGCGCCACAAATCCTGCGGCACAAAAAGCCATTATGGAGTCAACAATGAGTCAATTTAAGGTATCCACCCGATCCAGTCCAAGCGTTGTTCGCGTGAAACCAATTACAAGCGCACTTACGAAAAAATCCCTCTTCGAAGGACTTGAGGAGTTCGACTCGAGTGTGGAGACTTTCAGTTTAAAACCAAATGCGAAACGTCTAATAATAAAACCCAAGCCGGCCAATACGATTATTGGCACTACCGCGAATACCAGTCCTAATAGGCAACCTGGATTGCAAGACTCATCATTAACAAACGTTGGGCAACGCCAAACAGGTGGTCTAGCACAATCGCCGGCTCCGTCGACGCTACGTAACGAATCATTCTCGGGACAAATACCGCTTGATCCACCACCGTCACAGGTTGCTAAGTCCAGCGCAAACATTGCTGCTTCCACTGCGGCTCAAAGTGGGCGAGAGAGCGATATTGGACGGCGTGAATCTTGGCTGCATCCCAATAACGTGGAGAAAATGCGTCAACAAAATATGAATAATAGTATCGATGGCGCTGTGCCGCTTAACAGTACACTATCGGAATTAGTGCCTCGCAAGCCTCTGGATACGTATCGCTCAACGGGCGCTGGTGCACCGGGCACTCCAACCGGTCGACCTTCTGTCTCCACCGTGCAAGAAAATACGTTCGAGGAGCAAACTAGTCGCGAATCATCTCGCCGCGAAGCATCTGATCATCATGATGAAACGTTGTTCTCCAGTCGTTCATACGGTGGCGAGGAGCGCTCTATAATCGAAGAAACAACAGGAGATTACGAAGAACATCCCACCGGTATAACATTGAGACGAATCGGGTAAGATGATAGAACAAGTAGTTTTAGAACATAATTGCATAAATTACATTTCAGTTACTACACAATTCCTTCATTGGACGATCTTAAATCATATCTTGCCGAGGACGGCTCGTGTATTGTACCCAATTTCACTGTAGGACGCGAGGGCTATGGTAATGTTTACTTCGGAAAAGAAATGGACGTGGCTGGATTGAACTTGGATGAAATAGGTAACTTATAAAATGAAAGTCTTCATAAAATTTGTCTAAAATCGAAAACAAATTTGCAGTACATTTTCGTAATAAGGAAATTATCATCTATCCCGACGATGATAATAAACCGCCAGTTGGCAGTGGTTTGAACCGTGAAGCGCAAGTAACGTTGGATCAAGTTTGGCCGCACGACAAAACCAAGCACGAACCTATTAAGGATCCTGCACGTTTGGCTGATATGGATTGGGAAGGAAAATTGCGACGAGTTTGTGACAAAAATGATACACGCTTCATTGAATATCGTCCGGAGACGGGAAGTTGGGTATTCCGCGTAAAGCATTTCTCTAAATATGGTCTCAATGACAGTGATGAGGAGGACGAAGCTGTGCCAACTGATCCGAAAAAAGCAAAAATGGGCATGACTGGGACACTAGGTGCCACAGCAGTGGGGGGTGGCCAGAGCGCAATGACCAACGCAACTGCGTCGGATAAAATANGCAAAAATGATACACGCTTCATTGAATATCGTCCGGAGACGGGAAGTTGGGTATTCCGCGTAAAGCATTTCTCTAAATATGGCCTCAATGACAGTGATGAGGAGGACGAAGCTGTGCCAACTGATCCGAAAAAAGCAAAAATGGGCATGACTGGGGCACTTGGTGCCACAGCAATGGGGGGTGGCCAGAGCGCAATGACCAACGCAACTGCGTCGGATAAAATAACGATGACTGCATTGAAAAATGCTCAAAAGGTGAGTTTAAACTCCAAATACATAAATGCTGAAATTTGTATAAATAAAAATTCTCTGGGGCGGTAATGAAAGATCTCTGAAGATGCTGCTCGAGCGCTCGATCCAAAAAGCCTCGCAGGGGGAGCGGCACATTTTTTACCAATGGATGAATCTGCAGATTTCATGCTAATGGATAAGACACGTAAGCACCGCTTTTTTAAGAATCATGTTCTCTATTAATACATTGGTTTTTCACTCTAGAATTTCTACAGGCCAATGGAAATGACTACTCCCTATANATTTTTTTTTCACTCTAGAATTTCTACAGGCCAATGGAAATGACTACTCCCTATACGAGCAACAACAAATTCCGCGTGTGACCAGTCCAACTGCCTTTTTAGCTCGAGAGGTTGGCACTGATTCTCATAAGCTGCAGTTAATGAAGGCTTCATTCTTTGGTGACGATGACTTTGACAATAAATCAGTTACCACTGTTGAAGAATTTGAAAAGAATAATTATTACAATAGCAATCAAAGTCGCCGTGCTGGTTCATTTGCCAAAAGAGTTCAAGACGTGCACACTTCCTCGCAATCGCTGTGGAAGGAGCCTGGCCACGGTGCTGCTCTTTCGGACGCATCGAGTCAACTAGATTTTGTTGTGCAGGCGTCACCTCTGCCGCCCTCATCTTCTGCTTCAGTTATGAGCATANCTCGATCCAAAAAGCCTCGCAGGGGGAGCGGCACATTTTTTACCAATGGATGAATCTGCAGATTTCATGCTAATGGATAAGACACGTAAGCACCGCTTTTTTAAGAATCATGTTCTCTATTAATAATTTTTTTTTCACTCTAGAATTTCTACAGGCCAATGGAAATGACTACTCCCTATACGAGCAACAACAAATTCCGCGTGTGACCAGTCCAACTGCCTTTTTAGCTCGAGAGGTTGGCACTGATTCTCATAAGCTGCAGTTAATGAAGGCTTCATTCTTTGGTGACGATGACTTTGACAATAAATCAGTTACCACTGTTGAAGAATTTGAAAAGAATAATTATTACAATAGCAATCAAAGTCGCCGTGCTGGTTCATTTGCCAAAAGAGTTCAAGACGTGCACACTTCCTCGCAATCGCTCTGGAAGGAGCCTGGCCACGGTGCTGCTCTTTCGGACGCATCGAGTCAACTAGATTTTGTTGTGCAGGCGTCACCTCTGCCGCCCTCATCTTCTGCTTCAGTTATGAGCATAATGCGTGAAATTGACACTGAGGTGCTTACTAATAGCTATAATAAAAAAAATAATAATAACGTAAATCTATTAAATCTACAGGCATCCACTCCGGCACTTGTCGGCGATGCGGCAGCTGTGGCACAACTCTCCAAAATACCACAATTTTCTGTAAAGCCGAAAGTGGCAGGCGTTAAGGTGGTAGCACACCAGGTGCCAATTACAAAGTCGTTGGCTTTTAATTTAAAGGGTAGGTGGGCAGCAGATTTGGGATTATATAATTTTCGCCGTTTCAAGCCGACTTTTGGGCCGCAGAATACTGTAATCGTACCATCCACACGCAAAAATGTCGACCATGAAGTGCAAAGTACGTCAACACATTTTCAAAGAATATTATATTTTTAGTATAATTTGTCTTATTTCTTTAAGATGAACATCTCTTCGATGTATCGGCTTACATATTTAAAGGCCGAGCCGCAAATGATTACACCGCCACCATACTACAACACGTAAAAATATCTTCAGTAATGCATTATG